TGGTGATCGAAACACGTGTCGAGATGTTGAAAAACGATTCGGTCTTGGAATAAAACTCCAGTAATATTGAACCTATGCTGGAGTCTCAAATCAATTTTCCTTGCATGAAATATGATTTTTCACGTTTTTGCCTGAACGACAGATATATATCGACTGAGCGATAAACTGTGGAGAAAATTGAGGACTGTTACATGATATCTGTAAACTTTTCACAAAACTACAAGTCATTATGATTCCTGGAAACGAAGTAGACATTCTTTCGTAGAAATTTGTATTCTGAATACTCTCATAGTGATTAGTTCATTAAGATTCTGAAAAATTATTATGAAAATTACAATCCTTCCGAATTAGAATCTTGGATTTGATGGAAATCAAATGATTTGGATCTTTACGTTCACTACGTTATTGTGATTTCCATAGTCTTTCTTGTTTTAGAACCAATTAACTTTTATTTTTGGTAGAGAAGTCAATATCTCCAGATCTATGACCAATCGATTTTATTGTAACAATTTAAAATGTAATGAACCTGATGGTTTTCCAGATTATTGAATGTAACAACCACAGGACCATGGCCTTACATTAACCATCCTGAATTGAAGCCTTTAGGCCTTGATATAAATCTCTGAAGGAAATCTGAATATTTGTTATCACAAACGAGTCCCCGTGGTATTATGTAAGCCATTAGTCTTTCATTTCGTGAGTCTCATATGTTAGCGTGCTGACGGCAAATTATCCAATAAAAGTCACCACAAAAATAGAATTAGAATATCTCGGTAGTTCATCTCAAACCCAAACAGTTACTTATATCGAGTGGTCCAACGAAAAGTATGCACCTTGCTTTCCTCCTTTTTTTGTAACTCAACGCAAAAATGCTCGGACAGGTCAATTTTGCTTTTGAGGGGGACACATTTTAGATGTATTTTTCTACCTGTACCTTCAACCCCTTAGCGAGGGTGAGTAACAACCCTAAAATTTCAAATGGAAAGTGGGGTCGAGTGATATATCATTTGAAAGGGCACAAAACTATCTTTCCAATGATACCTAATTTGTTGTATTTACTTGAATAGTTATAAAAAAGCAAGAAGATTTACTCGATTTTTTTGGTGTTAATGAAAATGCGGTAAAAACGGCATTATTATCACTACTACATTCCTCAATTTCTCTCGTGCGTTTTTTGGTTCAAATACCAACAGCAGATAAGTGTACAAAAAGAATTTAGGCAAACGTTCATTGATTCAGTTCAATTCGTGAACGGTGTGTGAAAGTACTATTTCACGTACAGGAGTAGAAAAAAGTGTGTTTTTGTTTTTCCATGCTAAAACTATGGATCAAATGAGAACAGTTATGATCCATATGTGATCAGAGACATCTGCTGTCATATAAGCAAATCAATGAGAAAACCCCATATCAAATGCAATAATTTTTTTAATGAACATCCAGAATTATTCTGGTTTAAAAAATATTGTGAATTTTAATCAATATCTAGTAGAAAGGCATATCACGTCAGTTAAATCTATGCCTTTCTACTGGATATTAATAAAAATTTACTTTATTTCCAAACCAGAAATAGTTCTGGTTGTTCATTGATAAATTTCATGAGATTTTTCATTATTCTGATCGACATTTGAGCATTGCTCAGGAATTATTGAATGAGCCAAGAAGACTCAAAACTAAAACGTCCGGTATTGTGGGAAAATAATTCATGGCTTTTGCACCATCATAATACACCTTCTCACAAGTCATCGCTTGTTTGTAATTTCTGGCTTAAACAATACCTGAATCATGCCCTTACCATCGTAATTACCAGATTTGGCACACTGCGACTTTTTCCTGTTCCTAAAAGAACGTCATTTTGCAATTGGAAAACGAAACATCAAATAAAATAACGACCAGATAAATCTAGATAGTGGAAGGAACAACTTTTTCCAACTGAAAAAGTGAAAGACCCAAAAAAAATGTGAAGATCGGCCGCCAATTTTCCTGTACAGCAGGACAAATTGCGTCATTACCTGTTCCACATCTACATGCTACACCTATTACTACCAAATATTTTCACTCAAAAAGAACAGGCATGACAGCAACAATAAAAAAATCGCATTTAGTGAGATCGCAAGTGAATTAAAACGATTCATGGCAAGCATGTGCTAAATAACAAATGATAAGTTCCTGCGTTACGACTACTTTCAACATTATCGTCATCCCCCTTCGTCCGCATTTTCATTGTGCATTCATACAGTGTCGAATGTACAAGAATATACATTGTGAAACGAACTCCGCAGCAGATGCTCATTCACATATTTGTTCTCTTGGAATGGAAATAGCGACGGTAATATCTCCTGGAAATGAGTCATCGATCGCAGAACTCAGAGAAAGTGCTCATTCAGGTGTGGGATAAAAGCGTCACAAATTGGTGGCAGGTGTGGGGCGTTCGAATGGCATGAATAAAACCGTTGTCGATCAAGACAGCATTTATTGTGAACGAAACAAAATAATTGTTAGCTCGATTCTGTTCGATATGCAAATTTTAACGAGTTTGTTTTCGCAAAAAGGACCTTTTTCACAAGCGGCATCGGAAAGGTTATGAATCGCCACGAAAGCAATTTTGTGAAGATGAATGTTAAGCTGTTCTTTCAGACACAGAAGTGTTTACTCAGAATTTGTTTGGAATCGATGTCTTTCTTTGTTTCAGATGGAAAAAAACTGTTCAATTCATCGACAAAGAACGTTCAGACACTTTTCTGGCTGATACAGTTTCAACTGTATGAGTGTATATTTTTAGATTTCAAAAATATCAATATTGAAGTTGACTGAGGTTACTTATTGTTTTGAAATTACCGTAGATTTCAATAGTTCTTTAACAAGGGGGTTTTCTCGTCTCGTCGGCGATTGACGTCGAAGCTTGGTTTTCCAACTGAGCGCCTTGGAGCGTCTCGTTTATCTTACATATTCGAGGATTCAATTTTTTCTGTCAATGCCATGGATCACGTTTTCGTGAAGAGAGTCATCATCGTCCTCGCTTCCTCAGGTATGCCCTCCAAGTCCAGTAATGCATTTTTGTTTCAGCCAAGCATCACTGATCTATGGCTGGTCGAAACAGCACTGCCTGGTGTGATTGGTTTCTGGTTTTCACCTTTGAGAAGTTAGTAGTAGTAGTAGTAGTATTCTTTCATTTCTCAAGGTATATACAAATGAACATAAACATGAAAATAAACAAATGCGTCATAAAAATACGCATTACAAAGGTTCTTATGATAAAATAACATTAAAATAAATAACAATGGAAGAGAACAAGAAAAAGCGAATTGTTCACACATACAGATTGAAATGCATATCAAAAACTACATTGGATATAATAAAAGTATGCTGTGGATATAGATCGATTAGTGTAGGTTAAAGTACTCCTTAATGGATTTTGATTAAAAATAATGTTGCCTCATTTTTGAATGAATTCAGACTTGAGTGGTTTCTAATCTCAATAGGAAGATCATTACATAATTTTATTGACATAATGTGAGGACCTCTTGATGAAGTGGAATCGAGATCATCTGATTTTCGCGAAGTTTATATCCTGTAGCTCGACTCAAGTCTTTGCCGCTTGTGAAGTTTTTATCGTGTGACTTCACATAAGATACACAGTTGAGTGGTTTTGGAGAATATCCTGATCTTCTCAAAATTGCCATTTTAGTACCCGTATTGAAAAATGGTGATAAAAAGAGTATCGAAAATTATCGTCCTATATCAAAAATTCGTACTCTCAAAAATTCTGGAAAAACCAATATCTCTCAGAATAAACGACTACCTCGAAACCTTCGACCTGATGACAGAGTGCCAACATGGATTCAGGAAAAACTGCTCAACAGAAACCGCAACGCTAAATTTCACACAACACATTATTTGATTGACGGAAAGAATATTGTTGTAGGAGTCTTCTTTGACTCGAGCAGGGCATTCGACACTTTGAACTCTAAATTTCTAGCAGACAAACTCTTCAACCTTAGGATTCGTGGTAGTGTTTCTTTTTTGGCGAATAGATGTTTCCAGATTTTCGTTGGACCACTCTGTATATTAATCAGCAAGTTTTATGAACTATTACAGAGAATTTCAGCAAGCGTAGTATCTTAGTTACTTGCATAAAAATTGGAGGATATAATAAACATTATTGCTTCAATAATGATTACACAGCCCGCCTAAAAAAAGTTTGTCTTGCTACCGAAAAGTATTCATCTGATTTTGGTTAATTCATCAGTGCTGATTCCAAAAATACAAGCATCTGCTCTCTCTTCCTATACACATATATGCTAGTTCCAACTGCCAAGTTCTTTTCTTCTAGTCTAGAACCAAGCTTTTGGCAATTCAGCGTTTTCTTTTGTTAACCCAAGATCCCTAACTAAGTCGTCAAGCTCAATCTGAGTAAACAGTTTAGCCTCTATATTTGCTGCAGCACATTGCAACTCTTCATCATCTTGCTCATCTATATCTGACAGTACATCAGAAAACATTTTAGTTTGAACAGAATTCAAATCATCTGGATGCTCTGGGACCGGCAAATCTACATCGTGGCCTACTGGTCGGATGGCGGAAATTAGGTTAGGGTAGCTTATTACCTTCTTGTTTTTCGAGTTATGGCCAGTAATATCAATACTACAAAAGTAACAATTATCAGTGTTTTCTAGGTTTCCTCCATACCATAGGAAAAGCGTAATTAAAGGTTTTTTTCTCCTTTTTTGACCATTTTCTGAGATCCTCAACACAAACATAACATACCTTATGCGGGTCTCAAAATTCATCCTGATCACCAAGTTTAATTCCAAAATATGAGAAATGAACCTTTTTCACTAGGTCTGTAATATTTCTTTGATGTTTTTCGATAACAAACTCGCCAAAAATATAACAAAAACTGTCAGCAGAATTCATACAAACGCGATTAGATATTTTAATGAGCACATATACTAAAAACCAGAAAGTAAGGTTAGGTTGACAGTAAACGAAACATCAGCTGCGAACAGAACAGTATAATTCTCTTTTTCTGGACAGTAAATGTGTTTCAGCAGTGCTGCCAACTCTTCTACATCCAGCACAACATGTTGACGTCGGAAACCTTCCAGTTCTTGGCATCACAAGGGTTTAGCTATGATTTGAGTGTATGTTTGGTGGGTTGCCTGTAAAAAATTCATTCAATCATTGAATTAGACCAAAATCATTTTTTTACATTGCAGGATTGCCTACACATCCACCTGGATTGTTGTGCGAGCGGGTAGCTGTAATAGAAATATCTGCCCACATAGTAATTTCCACAAAATCTGCCTCAACGCAGATACACCAAATCAACAGGACTAAAATTCTGGCCACGGAAACCCCCCCTCATGAAACTGACCCCGATAAGGATCTATATAGGGATCAAGTTCGATATAAACGCTGACGAAGGCAAATCCTATATCCACAATCGGTGGCGTGTTACCCTCGTGTTTCGGGTTAAAAATAGGATCGGGAATGCTAGAAGTTTAATGACGACCCCTGCCGGTGATTTACAATTTAGGAACCGGTGTGTTTTCACCGTTTTGTGGTAATTAGAACGCAGAGGCACGGTGAGATGAAAAAGCGAGCTCTACTTTTCATTGTTACGTTTACGATGAAACCTTGGATGCTGGGAAATGAAGCTTGTACGGGGTCTGTTGAAAAAATGAGGATCTGATCCTTTATCCCTCACAGGCGGCCTTATATATGGGGCTCATATTTGGTGGAGGTACTTAACCGGGTATAAGGTATCCCCCTGTATATTAATCTGCCGCGCTTCAGTAAATCCCGAAATCCCCGCTAGGGCACCCCTATTTCAAGATTTCGGCAGGTTTTACGCCTTCTGCGGCGAGAGACTTGACTACACTGACAAACTTACCCAACAACAAACATAGCAGGAACGTTCTCCCTCCACCATTTTGGATATTTGAAGAAATTGGAGGGTTCGTGTGCGTTTTTAGTAGCATTCAATCTTGAACGATTCTTCTAGAGGGACCCTTGGAAATAATATTCTATTTGTCGTGAATCACGTTTATGTTTGACACAAACCAGCTGAAATTTCAGTGGATATAATTTCCAGACTCCAAAACTGTTTTCCAATACGGCTGTTAGCTGTACTTGAACTCATCCACTCGGTATAATTGAGGTATACATTATTGATGAAACCGCTTTCTGGGGCGATATTTCCCCCAGACGATATCCCCGACCTAGCATCCCTTGAAATAGGCATTCCAGCGATTCCACTTTTTCTATTAAAACACGTTATCGAACGCATGAGAATTTCCGCCAAGCGATTGATTCATGGAATGGGTTTTGGGTTCATCAGGCCGGATTAGAAAGGGATTGAATGGGATCTGTGACCCACGCTCCGAAAAGGAAGACATGCGGGATTTTGCGGAGCTCTTTCGCTGATTCGTTGGGAGGGTTGAAGTTCAAAGTCACTTCGATGATTGAAATCAAATAAGTCTCACTCATGTAGTGGAGGGAGGTAATGAATTACTTGATCAAAGCACTACTAGATCGTATAAAAGCCTGACGCCATCCTCTTTTCCAGTGGAATTTGGAAAAATATCAGGTGTGGCTGTATAAAACCTCACTGGAAAAGGTTCAAAATGAATTTTTGCGTAGTGCTGCTATAAAATGGGCATTCAAATAAGCCTGCAGCATGGCTACACTAATATCCTTTCTATATACTACATCCAACCACATTGGAAAACAGGCGGATTCAGACTGACCTGATATTTCTATTCAATTTCAGACCAAATTAATTGCCAAGAACTTCTCTCTTTGGTTGGCCTGAGAGTCAAGCAAAAAGTAACAAGGGATGATGTAGCTTCCTCAAGCGTAAACGCTTGAGCTTTTGTATAGCGAAACACGTGTCGCAGTTTTTGTAAAGCCCTTTATAGTGGAAATCATACAGTGAACAGTATTATACTAAAACCAATAATGATTGAGAGTAGAAGTAAGCCCAGTTGACAGCAAATCGGGGGCATGCTTATTAATTTTTGAGAGGGTTAAGAATGAAAGAAAAATTCTTAGTACAATTAGTTAAAATATTCATACACATTTTTTATTTATTTCATTAAAACTTTGCAATATCGTAATTTACCTAATCGTTGTAGTCATTAGGTGGGACTTATGAAAACGGAGTAATAATCGTGGTAATTATAGTAGGTACCAAATAAATTAACAATATTAATAAAAAACACAATATATATATATACAATATTGTGTTCAATACGGTTGTCTACGTCCCACATTTTTTGCTCCNTATCTAACACTATACAGAAAATAATGAATTTTAACTGATCAGTAATCAGGAAATGTATAAGTATTACTCATTACAAGCTCATTACTGATTTTTGTCATAAATAATACCTTTTAATCGTACTAGTATTGTGTATTATCTATAATTTGTCACAACCTACAACTCTACTGCTTACTATATTTTGATTCTGCTATAAACTTGTAACGTAAAATTTATATATGACAACGCGCTTTACTCTCAATCATTATTGGTTTTACTATAGGTTTAATATGGATTTTCATCAAGTATCGGACAGTTCTAATCAAAATGGTTTATGTTGAACGGTTTTATTGAAAAAGAAAGATGATAATGATGTAGATAATTTGCTGAAAGCTGAAAAATAATTTGGATGGTCCTAGGTAGCAGTTATCACACTATACTCATCAGCAATCCACGGTATCGATTAGATGAAAAATTACGAAATCGTTAAGGGTAGTATTTACATATTTACTCAGGTTCAACATAAAATTCTATTCACTTATTTCATTTTCATGTTTTCAGTTTCTAAAATCTATCCAAATCCAAGATAGAGTAAACCAAAACAAAACCGAAGCTGAATAAAACCGTTCAAAAATAATAAAATCACCAAAATGAGTGTATGTAGCTCGCACAAAATTTGAACATCCACCTTAGTTTTTGAAAAGTCCACTATTCACCCGACTGTACCTCAGCTTCTACATTTCTCGTCAATGCATTCCAGGTGACGTCCCAGTATCTAATTCTTAAACTCAGAAAGTTCAAAGCCGTTTTTCACTTCCGTGGCGCAATCACGTCAAACCCCCTTTGAATATTACCAACATAAACTATAGTTGCCAACTTCTTCCGATACGGTCCGGGAGAGGAAATGAAACGTGGCGATGTATGGCCCAATAAAAGTATGATGGCTGCTGTATACGTACGAGCCGGTGTAATAAAACTCGGTTCAAATCATTTGAGCTAACTGTGATGTATTGTTTTGGTGCAGGGAAGCTTCAGCCGTTTGCTGCTGTAGGTAGATTCGCGGCCTGGAAAATCATGATGGAAAATTGTAAATCCAAGTTGGTTCAGAAATGTCTAGGCAGCAATGAATTCCGAAAGTTTACCTGTGTTACTTCTTGAAAATTAGTGAACGAAGTTCAAAAGAGTTCGGACAGAATTAAGTTTTGCTTTCAGTTGAAAGCTTGATTTAGGGTGGTAGCGACTGAAGAATAGATTCGCTTAGGATGAGGTTTTCATTTCATCCCAAACGTTCTATTCAAAAATCGAATCAAAATATGAGCAGGATTTAACCAACGGAGTTTAGTAGATGAAATCATTATGAATTGTGTGATGGAAGAGTTTCCAGTTTCAACACTGACATCATTGTTGAAGCGTGGAAAACCTGAGAGTCTTCCTGAAAATGCCTTCAAAAGAAATGGGTGCTGCGAAGAAGAATTCAAGCGGACCAGAGATAACGTCAACGTAACCCCAGTTAGGCTGGTTAAGAGAAAAGCTTTCTTTCCTTATGTTAAAAATGTCACAGACCAGATTGTGAGAATCTAAGAGAAATACTTCATGAAAACCATATTCAAGCCAAAAAAATCTATTATATATCGGAACCACGAAATGAAGCGTAGAAACGTGCTTGACTGAGAGAAAGAAGAATTACCCCTATGGCCAGACAGATAAATCGACAGTTGCAGAACATGCTTTTCTAAACAAGGTCACACTGCGATAGGACGGCACAGGACGAGAACATGCTGGGACGGTAACATGACGTAAAGTTTCGTTTCTCAATAGGGCCAAACATGTCTGACCATTTCATATTCCTGTTTACACATCCTCCATAGAGGTGTGTCCACTAGCCTCATGATATGGAGGTGTTTCCTCAATTGACAGTAGCAGTCAGAAATTCTACTGTTGAGCGTAAGTTTTCCCTGGTCACCGCCAGATATTTCTTCGGCGCCCAGGGTTTTGACTGCCCTTCACCTAGCTTTTTGTTTAATTTTATTAGTCAATAGCTTATCAAACCGAATGAAAAACATGGATGTATTATTTTTTGGAAACTGTCTGGAAAGTACACACAGTCCGAACGCATTTTCTTTACCTAGCTTTGTATTCAATTTTCTGAGTCAATACCCCATCAAATTAAAAAAATACTTCCTGGACGCTTTTGTTTTGAGAAAGTAGCATTTTTTCCGGCCCAGTCCGAAAAGTAGATATATTACCTTCTTACAGGAGCCACCATTGAAAATTCAATGGATAATAGAGAGACAGAGAGAGAGCATCGCATGACGTATGAGCATGAGACAAAAGGAGAGCGCACTGGCTCAGAGCTATGCCTGAACTTGTCGATGATCATGATGAAATTGCGACACATACAGATATAATCTAAGTAATGCACATTTTTGACGCGATTTTCGCAACTCAAATGACCGTTTTAGCGCGTTATATTTTTTCCAAATTTCCGATGCGATTTTCGCTACAGAAATGAACTCCTTCCTCATCGCGCTATATTTTGTATGTATTTTTGGAGTGATTTCCGTGACAATTTCCACAGCATTTTTCGTGACACGTTACAATGAAAATCATATGGGTTTTTGGAAAAAATGGAACATTTCAGCGCGTTATATTTTCTCGAAATATTTGGTTCGAGTTTTTCGACATAAAGAGCTGCTTTTTTCTGAAACGAATTGTTTCCAAAATATTCTATATACATTAGCATTGAACTTCTGTTAGAATTCTAATATTCATTACAAGCTACTATAAAATTCAACATGCTTGACGTAAGGATCACTTTCTTATATCATCAATGGGAATTCACGAGTAATCAAACTAAATTAACTAATTTCTCCAAATATCCAAGTATTTTTCCCAAACACTGGATCAGCACGAACTATTTTTGATAAAAGCTTGTTTCACGTAAAAGTGAAACATCAATTACGGTCAGAGCCTCAAAATCCAACCCTCCCAACGCGTTGGAAATACTTTCAAACCGGAATTAAATAATTATGAGACCCAGCTTTATTTCGAGAAAGAAGGGGATTATAATTGTCTTGAGTGAACACTGGAAAGGATCTACTTTGAACTTCCTTCATTGAATTAGTGCTGAAGCAAGGACAATGATCCTCAGAGTCATTCGTTTCCCGAATTGTGGACGTTTCTGTGTCAGATGTTCCTAGTTTCCTAATTCTTTGAGTGGAACTGGCAAGGGGTGTTATCTAGAATGCTTCAAAAGATTGATGATGATTGTTATAAAACTTTTATTGTCGAAATATACTTGGATCAGATGGAAAGTAATCTATTTCAGCTAGAAGTACCTAACAATTGCTCTGTTTGAAAATAATTCTACATCATAGAATGCATTTTCAAAATTTTTGAGACGTTGAAAAAAACTGTCTTATTTTTTTGAAGAATGATTGGATCCACTTAATATTGAAGGAGTGCGCCTAATCCTAATCCATTAGAAATGATTATATTTGTCAGAAAAACCTTCTTTTTTGAATAAGCATATTATTTCCACTGCCTCAGGTTACGTTTCCTCCTCCTGACAATATCAAATAGTTGAGCCTGTATATATTATTTGTATTTTCAAAGATCCATTTAGTTTCTCATGACAAAACATCGAGAAGTCGAAATTGAATAAGTGTATTTTTCCATGGGTGGAATCGAAGCATTTCATTGGTGTTTCTGGCTTCGGAGGGTGGATAAACGTCTTGTAGTGAGTCAATCCTGGAAGATTCTGCCAGAAGTCCATGAATCTTCTTACCATCCAGGTGTTTGTTTGGCAAAGCCCAAAGCAATGAGAGGTTCGATGAAGCCCCTTGCAGCACCCTCCTTTGCAATAGAGTCAGCAGCTTCATTGCCTTCCAGGCCAGTATGGCCAGAATTTCAGACCACAGACAATCTATTAAGTCTTAAGTTGTTTTTGACAGTTTTCTACCAATTTAGACGTTGCTCGGTAGGAGTCAAGAGCTTTCGACGCTTCTCGACTGTACGAGAATATTCTTATTGACTTGTTTGTGAGGATAGATGTATCCAATCTCTCCGCACACATTTCAATAGCGTAAATTTCCGCTTAAAATACAGTCGCATAGGTTCCTAGGCAGGTAGATATCTCTGTCCTAGCTCTGCGACTGAACACACCTGCACCAGAACCGGAAGGTGCTTTTGATCCATCTGTGAATCAACAACCATCTGCTCTTAATATTTCCTGCTCCCGTCGATTGAACTATCAAAAGGTCGTTATCATTGATTGTAGAAATTTACTATGGTTACAAATGAGTCCGAGATTTTCAGTACACAGTGTGTAACAACGAAAACTTAACAGAGCCGTTTTTGAATATAAAATGTAGGATTTTTTAAAAAAGCTTGGACACGTCGATTTTTGATTGAAGGGGGACAACTTTCAGACTGATCAGATTTTTTTGTAGTACGCACCCCCTCGGAGGGGTGCGTCCGACGACCCTTATTTAGATAGGGAAAGTAGGTCGAGTGGCACTTTGTTTTAAATGTCTTTCGAATACCTTTACAACTCTGTTGAAAGAAAATTTTTGTAATGATTACTTTTCGAGATAATTTGAAGTTAAAATTGCCATGTTAATAATACATTAGACAGACCACTCGGTAACTTGTTTGTCTAAATAAATAAAAATTTCGAGCAGTTCTTCTTATCAGATTTTTGTTAAATAAAATCCCTTTTTTCAAATTAATACCCACTCCTCTTCTTCCAGTTTTCATTGGTACATCGTTCGATTGTTTTGTTTTAACGGGTTGTGTATTGTTATTTGTTCAAAAATGCCTTACACTACTGCTGGAAGGGCTTCCGTTATTGCTTTATCATTTGGCAACGACCAAAATGCTAAAGTACATCAATTTTATTCAACGAGCAAAACCCTGGTAAACACCTAAGCGGAAATCACGTTCTTGATTTGGTCACAAAATTCAGGAAGACAGGTTCGGTTTTAAATAAGGAAAGAATGACGATAATGCAATTGGAGTGATTGGTCAAGTCATCGCCAATCCCAGGTTAAGTACCAGAGGTTTATCAGCAATGACCGAAATAAGCCATATGAGAGCATGGAGAATCCTTAAAAACCACAAATTCCATGCTTACAAAATTAAACTTGTTCATGAACTCAATGGGGATGATTTTGACCGAAGACAGGAGTTTTGTGAGGGCATGAGTGAGATATTAATGCAAAATCCCGAGCTGCTTCATAACATCTGTTTTCCGGACGAAAGCTCATTTTATTCAAATGGCTGCGTGAACCGTCACAATTGCCGTTATTGGTCGGATGAAAACCCAAGACAATACGCAGAAATACATACCATACATACCCAAAATCCCCAAAAGTTGAATGTCTGGGCCGGAATATTAGTCAATCATATTATAGGTCCATTTTCCATTGATGGAAATTTGACCGGTGATTCTTATTTACAACTTCTTGAAGAGGCAATACAACCTCGTATAGTTGAAATAATTGAACAGGATCCAAGATGTCAAGATGGATTTATCCTTTTTCAACAAGACGGTGCACCACCCCATTATGCCCAGCAGTTTCGAAATTTTTTGAAAAATCATTTCGAAGGACAATGGATTGGCAGAAGAGGTCCAATAGAATGACCAGCACGATCACCAGATTTAACACCACTGGACTGGACTGGGAATAATTAAAGTCTAAAGTTTATGCTACACAGCCAGCCAATTTGGATGAATTACGTCGTAGAATTATTGATGAATGCCGAGCTATAACTCCTGAGATGTTGAATAATGTAAGAGCAGAATTCGAACAAAATATTTATTGTTGCATGGAGCAAAATGGCGCACATTTTGAACATTCACTCTCAATTTCCTATGTGAGTTACTTTTATTTGGTGTTACTTTTTTGTATGTGCTTTAAAAACAATCATTGGGATTTATTAACCCTAAAACAGTTTTTTAAACTTCACTGTGTCATCAGCATTCAAGGAAATCAGCAGGTTGTATTCGTTGTGTAGGTAAGTTTTCAGTATGATTCACTTTTTTATCAGAAGCATAAAATATCCACGTCAAAAGGCAACCATCATAAGGAGGTGCCACTCAATTCACCTAAGGGTGGTAACCAACCCCATACTCCGAAAAAATCTCCTCGTAATAAACAAATAATTCTTACTTTTTTACGAAATCAAATGGACACGTATTAGCAGGTTGTCATATCATAAAAAGCAAAAATTAATTTTTTTTATGAAAGTTCTGAACGTAAATTGTACCTTAAAAACAATATGATTTATTTTAAAAAGAGTTGAACTCAATAAAGATACTTTTAAATCTTCAAATTATCTCGAAAACTAATCGTTACAAAAATGTTCTTTCAAAAGAGATGTAAAGCTATTCGAAAGACCTTTGAAACAGGGTGCCACTCGACCTACTTTTCCTATCTAAATAAGGATCATCGGACGCACCCCTCCGAGGGGGTGCGTACTAAAAAAAATCTGATCAGTTTGAAAGGTGTCCTCCTTTAATTAGAAATCGACGTGTCCGAGTTTTTTTTAAAAATCTTACATTTTATATTCAAAAACGGCTCTGTTAAGTTTTCGTTGTTACACACTGTATATGAGGATGATGATTTTCATGTAAAATCCTCTGAAGATACTAAATTGTTAGGCATCACAGTTGATTATAGACTCACTTGGACACCACTGACTCACTTTGTGAAAAACTCTGTAAAAATTGTTATGCGTTAAGATTCTTGTCTAACTACTGTAATGCTGAAATCTTGTTGAGTCTGTACTATGCCACTAATCATTGTCATTTGCGATACGTGATTTTGAATTGGGGTACGGGTTCGTCCGTGGAAAGGATTTTCATATTACAATAGTCGGCAATTCCAATAATTGCTAAACTTGGATGGAGAGAGTCATGCAGGAGCTCTTTCAAAAAACTGAAACTTCTTACGGTTGTTGGGATATTTGTTTATGTATTTTTGTTTATAATAACAAATCAAGTTTTTCATCGAACAAGCAAACTTATGATTATCCAACTCGCTCTGGAAATTTGCTAGTACCTCGATCACATCGAACAGCCCTCTACCAGAAAAACCATCTTTTTCTCGGTCCGAAAATTTTCAACGAATTAGACGAAAATATAAAGGCAGCCCCAAATATAAATATTTTTAAATCAAGATTGAAAATTTTTCTGATTGAAAGAAATTGCTACTCCTTGGAGGAATTTTATCGATGATTTTATCTCTCTCCATGTTATTTGTGTTTCTTGTTCATTTGGCAAATCATTTGTAAACACCGATAGTTTTTTTTTTCAGCTGACGTTTTCCTTGTTATTGTATATTGGAAGATATGTTTTTTTTTCCATTGTACCTTTCAACAAGTGGAATATTTGATAATAAATGAATAAATAAATAACAGACCTACTTCACAACCACACACACACACACACAACCCATTTTATCTACTCCATTCGTTGGAGATACCAGAGTTTATATCATTTTGTGAACCAAGGATCCAACGAAGGATCACACAAATATCAAATGATTCAAACTATCCATGGATCTGGTGTGACAAATGCAACGTCGATAATTATAGAGGTATTAGTATTTTTCAGTGATCCCAAAAGTATTTACTGACTATTTCGGCCCTTGAAAACTGTTTTTGCTTCCACTTGCGATCTAGTATCATCTCACGAACAATGCCACTACCAGGATTTTAAGATAATTTTTGTTGATATGAAAAACTGTATATCTCGTGAAAATTTACACGGAAAAAGTCACCTCTTGAATTCTTTATTTTACTAGAGGTTTACACTGCCATATTTTGACAATGGTCTCCTGGAATGAAAATTTTTGTTGGAAACTCACCATTGACATTCAGCTCCGTGGCAGCTTTGCTATTGTCCCGACTGTTGATAGCCGTGTTGAACTCCGTAATGGTAGTCCCGTAGGAAACCGCGGACCCAGAACTGGTACTCCTCCTCCCATTAATCTGCCCCACCGTCGTCATTTCCCCATCGGAGGGATGCAAGTAGTGGTCCCCATACCGATCGCGATACGACGTTCTGTGCTGGTGAATCGAGTTCAGAATAATATTAGAAGAAGTCCGGGACAGGGCCTTTCTCTGCCTCACTGCTTCTTTGTAAATTCTACAGTACATCGTCACCATCACAATACCCGGTATCCAGAAACTGATGGAGCTACTTATCACGGCGTAGTACTCGTTCACCACGAAAATGCATACGTCGGGGTGGCTCAGACGGTACTGCTTGTGGTCATCTGTAGTGTACCAGCCGAGGAAGATCGGAGTGAAGCTGATCACAGCAGGTAGCGACCACACGTTGGCTAGCATGAAGGACACGGTCTTGTGGGTCATGGTGATGGGATATTCTAGAGGTCGCACTATCGCGTAGTACCTGTCCACACTGATGCAGCACAAATGCAGAATGCTCGCGGTGGAAAAGTAAACGTCCAAGCTGTTGTAGACATCGCACATAAAATACCCGAACAACCACTTACCGTTGGTCAGCTCCACACTCGCGTTGAACGTCATAGCGCACAGCGCTACCAACATATCAGCCATAGCTAGACTGACGACATAATAGTTCGTGATGACCCTGAGCTTCCTGTGGCGGTGGACACTGATGATCACCAGAGCATTGCCTAACACTGCGCTGATGATGATGATGCCGAAAATGCAGCCCTTCACGATGAGCACCAAAAGATCTGTCCAGTCCGGACGGGGGTTTTCAATGGTGGTAACGTTGGTTTTGTTGTGAAGGGTCGTGTTTTGTAGGATGCTGGGCAGATTCGTGGCTGTGCTTGTTAGTGTTGCTGAGTATGAAGCCATAGCGTTCGCTATCATTGTGTTGTCATTTGTTGGGCTTTAGTTTATCGATAGTTCGTTTCTTGTTGTTATTGCTGAGGGTTTTAATGGTCCACAGGTGCTGGAGGGGGGTTGATGGATGCCGATCATATTCACCTAGAAAAATACAGAATGTTACTCCTCAAACTTCAAAGAATGTTCAGTTGCTTTCCAGGGAAGTTATACAGAAATGCATAAAAATAGCAGAAGGATAGAAATACTATAATTCAGAATACTATAATAGTATTAAATACTACTAATAATGATAAAAACATATCGTAGAGCTTATCTTGGCAGAACACTGAGAATATTTACAATTCGTCATCATAATATTCCTGCAGGCTATAATAAGCTTTCATGAGCAGTATATTTTTGACCGACTCCCTGAAACGTCTTTGCTCTGTTATATCCCTACATGTGGTAGATGATAATAATGATAATTTGCCCATAATATTTGCTACAAAATTTGAGTAGAGCCTTGATGATCACAGCACGACCAGCTGTCAAAAGCGCTCGCCTGTAATTAAATAGGAGTTATAAAGCTTCAAATCCTTTTTGTAACTTATATTAATTATCTGCGAGCGCTTTCGACAGTTGGTAGTACTGTCGTCTGCTTCTTTATACAGTCAGAGCCTGTAGATTGAGGAGAAGGTAATCGTTGCTGACTAGTTAGGAATGGAACCAACAAATAATGGGTAAGCAGCCAATGAAAGAGTACTCTTTAAAGTTTGTCCAAACTTTCGGAAATTTAATNGGCCTGACTCGACAATCCCTCATAATCTGAAGACTTCAGAGTGAACGAAGAATCGTCAGCAAATTGCACTGTACAATGTTGACGATTACTGTTGTCGAGGTCTTGTATGAATAAAAGAAAGAGAATAGGTCCTAGGACGCTACCCTGGGGAACACCGGTGGAAACGACATAGTTTCTAGAGTGGAAAGTCCCAGCCTTCAGTTTAACCCTCACAGTTTGCGTTCTGCAATCCAGATAAGATCTCAACCAATCCAGAGATGAGCCACGAATTCCTAGAGAAAACAGCTTGCTCAAAACAAAAGTAAATCGTGATCAACAGTGTCCAAAGCTCGTGACAAGTCGGATAGAAACTTATCGTTTTTTCACCACTATCGAGATTAGAAATCACTTCATTGACTGAATTCTAAAAGATAATGAAAGAACTCCTGGGCCTCTTGATGTGCATGACCCACGAATCGAGGGGAAAAACTCTGAATCTGACTTTATAAGGATTCTGTGTTCACTGCTCTATCAGATGAATTTCCTGACCACAATTCCTTGACAACTTCTGCGAAAGCGTTGATTAAAGCACCCTCCGTACTGAAAATATCAGTATTGATATCTTGCATCCTTTTTAAATATTCCAGTAACCATCTTGTATTGAATGAACATTGGATTACACTGTTCAAGAAACAGGTGTTGCCAATATTTTTCAAAGCATTAAATCCAAGAGTTTTGACTGTGGAATGTATTACTGGTATAATTGTGTTGTAGCTGTTGATGATACGTGAAATAATGTGCATCAGTCCAAGGCTGAAATTCATGAAAAGTAATCTCCTTATCGTTTTTTCATCAAGATTATACAATAGTGAAAAACAGACCATGTTTTTCCATCGCATCGTTACAAACATCGGAATCCAGACTACGAGTTACCAATTACATTGCAGAAATAAATTAGGTGAATAAGGAGGAATCAAATCCCATTTTATATTGAATTCAGACATTTCATTCTTCAACTCGTTTTTATGATCTGACAAAAACCTACCCGATTCTTTCAAATGAGATCTTGCAGAAACAAAGTTTGAACCATTGTCGGAAAATAAATGAGAAGGTTTTCCGCGACGAGCCATGAACCTTCTAAATGCCATCAGAAAAGGATATTTGGTTGAGTCTGGAATCACTTCTACATGAATCACCTCTGTGGCAAAACAGATGAAGAGTCCTATATAACACTCACTGATTTTTGATCCTCAACCTTTACGATCTTTGACTAAAATAGGACCCGCGTAATCAATACTGTAGACGAGACGCAGGCAATTGACTCATGAGTACCACTAGTGGATTAGTGCGAAAACATTTGACACAATGTCGTATCACTTTTTTAGCAAGGATTCTTACACCAATGGGATAATACTTTCTCTCAACGATACAAATAATTGCTGTGGACCACAATGCATGAGTATAGAATGCTCATGCTCGAATAATAATTTAATCAGATGGTGATACATCGATGATGTATACTGCATTTCGTAATCTACCTCCGACCCTCAGAATATCATCATCATCAAGGAATGGGTTTGAATTCTGAATTTCACTATTTCTGATATTTTCTTCGTTTCCTGTGACGATCTGAATTTCATTATTGAATGAATGTTGTTGAGCTAATTTCAAAAGTGTTTTAAAAGCCTTATCAATCTCAAGTATGAGCAATGTACTGAAATTGCGTGACATCACATTCTTTTGGCAGTTTGACTTAACAAGCACTCCCCACACCGTGGGGTAAGTGATTATGGGGTCCGAGAATCATGTGCCCTGAGCAAACACACTGAGCCAAGAATGACAGCCATCTGCATCTGCCCGGCTGAGATTTCCGCCTTAGTGCGGCAACCCGGTATGATTTTAAGATTCGAGAATAGAGAGGGCTTTATTCCACCAAGGACTCCAATAATCAGAACAATCATATTCACAGAGTAATCTGGATAGAGTGTGCGGAGTTCGGAGATAAAATCTCGACATTTTATCTGTTTTTCCTCCTCTTTTCTGACGATATTCGTCTCGCCAGGAGCAGAAAACTCCACGACAAATATCGTCTTGCTTTGGTGGTCGAGAAGGACAACAGTTATAATAAATTCCGCACTTCTCGTTCCCCACAATGGATTCGATATCCCCTGGAACCTAAGGCAACACCGGTGTCTTGTAAATACCGTGAGAGTGCCGTTGATGGTAACATAGTACTCTAAGGGCCGCGTTATGTCAATGGATATAGGCCAAGACCGCATATGCTGCACATGCTGATACATTAAGGTCTCGTGCGCCTCGCGGCAGGCCCCGCACCTTGCCCCAGGAACCTCTGTACCCATCACGCGACTGTGGTAGACTGAGGTGTTGAAGACACCATCCTGGCAAGCCAGGATCCGAGAAGGGGATCCGAACTCCGATTTTACAGGGGATATTCAGTACCATGCTGTAGACACTCCAAACTAAAAAGTCCACGGCCTCCCTGTTGTCGGAGGAAGGACAACCGTGAAACGGACGATTTGGGATGCAAACTTCTATAGAGATGCATCATTTTTCGGGTCTTTACGTGTCCACTTCACTACTCCAAACGAGTAGGGTAAGATTGGAACGGCAAGCATATTTGTTGCAGCAACTTTGTTCTTCCCGACAGTTCTGATGACCAGATCTGTCGAAATTTGGCTGATTCATTATTATTATCATTATTCAAAAAAAAACATTCACGAAACGTCAAATTGTGTAAGATTATTAATAAAGTGTCCATCAGTATATACGGATCTGATTTTTTTCTCGCTTTTTCTTTGATACTGAGTACGAGTTCGTGTCTCAATAGTTACTCCCAGATATTTGAGTTCATTTTTAGCATATATCCATATGAGATTAGTTTTCGCGGCTTTTTTCGAGTTTGTGTCTGAAGGTTACTTATTAAATAATCCACATATCCTCATAAACGATTCATTTTGAAATCAATTACTTTCTTCCTTCTTTCTAAGGACGAAACACAAGCACTACAGAAAAATCCTCTTTATTTAATGATGGACCAATTTGTTTTTCATGTGTTGAATAAGATTTCACGTGATTTTCTCAGACAGTCAGATGATATTCAAATTGTCATACAGTCAGACATATCGAATCGATATGTTCCATATAACACCCCGAATACATCTCAACTGTGTTCCAAGTTGCCATGAACCCCGAAAAAATTTGCATATCTAGCTTTCATTGGAGCACCTCGATAAATCTGATTCGGGCGATTTCCAGTCTGAGAGTCTGAAATATAGCCTCAATTCCTATTTTATTGACAACATTTTTTATGTAGTTGTCCCATCGAAGGTGTCGATCAAGTATAATACCTAGGTATTTAACTGTTGTTGCTTCAGGTATTTGTCTATATTCAGGGAGCCAAGGTTTGGTAAGTTGTTCGAGTAAGATGTGAATGGTAAATATTGTGTTGACTTGAATATTTTGAACTCATTTTCAATATCACTTTTTAGGTCATACCACGTTTTTGCCTGGTAGAATATTGTATTCAATGATGGACCAATTTGTTTTTCATGTGTTGAATGAGATTTCACGTGGTTTTCTCAGACAGTCAGATGATATTCAAATTGTCATACAGTCAGACTTTTGGCTCTTCTCGAATCGAGCTGTTCCAAATAACACCCCGAATATATCTCAACTGTGTTTCAAGTTGCCATGAACCCCAAAAAAATTTGCATATCTAGCTTTCATTGGAGCACCTCGATAAATCTGATTCGGGCGATTTCCAGTCTGAGAGTCTGAAATATAGCCTCAATTCCTCAGGGCCTACATTTCATCAGAGGGATCCTGTCCGGTGCCAGGTGTTGAGAATGCGTGAATGGTAGCTCCGCTTTGTCAGTCTGAAAGCCTTTGGTGTGAGCTAAATCAATAATCCACTGAAGAAAATTGGTCTCTCTGCCATCCGACGGTGGACGGCGGTGAGGTAGTAGCGCTCATATACATCTCACTCTCTTTATCTATACTACTATCATGTTTGCATCCTCATTTCATTAGACTGAAATCACAACATACTTCAATGAGAAGCTCAATATGACACACACTTTATATCTCCTGCAAACTCCAGTTCACGTCTGAGGAACATCCCATCAACAAAAACAACACCGATAAAAATCAGCAAACAAAAAAAAGTAACGCCGATAATGATGAGCTTTCTCTCCTACTGGCATCGAGGGTGTCCCTCAATTTTGCAGAGCAATAAAAATAAAGTAGAACCGAGAGAGGCTTTCAGAGCGCTTTTAGCTTTCTGCTCCCCGGTCAGGCAGTGTCAAGTGTTCCGGTTCTCATTAGGTGTTTTCAGAAGAAACGATCTCTAAAATAAAA